TAGATGAAGAGGATGAAGAAGCTAATCCATGGACACCATCTTTAAGGGATCGCCTGATTGAAGAATCCAAATCGGAAAAACATCAATTGAGCCACTTTCCCAAAAATAGGTATTGTTTGGTTTGCCAAAGATCAAAAATGACAGGACGAGTTCATAGGTCAAGGGGGAAACCTGATGAAGATGAAGTACCTCCGTTACACTATGGGCATATGATGCGGGCGGATCACATCATCCTAGGGTCGGATTTGACTAAGGGTGCAGGTGGAGAGCAAGCTTGTTTGATTTGCTTAGATGAGTTTTCAGGATGCATTGGAGCCTTCTCCATGAGCAGCCGCGACACGGATTCTAACATCTTAGCATTGCAGAAATTCGCAGGCACGAAAGCTTCTCCCCGATCCTCGTGTACAGTCAAAACCGATTGTGCTCAGGAGCTGACAAAAGCTGTCGAGCATCTTGGATGGTTAAGTGAGCCTGGGATCGAAAACGATCCATATCATAATGCTAAACTTGAAAGCCTGATTAGAAGAATCAAAGAAGGCACTCGTGCCGTCCAATTGAAAGCAGGACTTCCACATGAATTCTGGCCGCGTAGCATAGAGTACTTTTGTGTAGCGCATGCAGTCACCACTCCATGTCCGGTGCACCCAAATGAAACACCGGAAGCCAAAAAGTTGAAGGAGGGCAAAACTTGCTTTGAAGTTGCTTCAGGGGAACCATTCACAGGGTACAAAATTCCGTATGGAGCCTTAGTTTGGTATAAACCTCCTAAGCACCGTGAGTTGCCAGCTTTCGATCCCAGAACATATCCTGGTATCTTCTGTGGTTGGAGAATTGACAATGGGTACAAGTTTAGGGGAGTGCATTTAGTGCTGGACTATGAAGCCGTTCGCACAAACAAAAAGGGTTGTGAAAAACCTATCCAAGTGTATGCCTCTGAACTAGTAATGCCTGAAGTGTTTATTTTTCCACTTGAAGAAGCCACCAATGCTCAGTTGTCCTTGTTCCGCGCAGAAGCCGATTTGCCAAAGATCGAGCCAAGGGACGCACTTCGGTTCGATGAGAACGCACCAAGCCCCGTCAAAAGAAAACGTAAGGCTTATGTGACACTTGAACGATGCATCCGTTTTGGAAAAACAATTGGTTGCAAAGGTTGTGAAAGGATAGCTGAGGGCGTTCGCCATACTGATGAATGCCATGCTAGGATTGGGAGGTTGTTGGAGGAAGAAAAGATTGCAAAAGAAGCCGAATTAAAAAGGGAAGAAAAGCCTGTTGAAATTGTTGATACTTCTATGCATGTTGCACTCAAAGAAGCCGTGAAGTCCAAGTTGAAAAACAGTCCCATCGTCGAAGCCGAACCGCGCGAGAGTAAGCACTTGGCTCCTCGTGCGGGCAAGGCAAAACCCGAAAATGAAAATGACTTGTGGGCATATGACGATCAAAAGGGAGCTTGGAAGCGGGTTCATGTGCGACCTCGAAAAAGACTTTTCACGCCTGTTGGCAATGATTGTCCTTTCGAAGTAAATGAAGTGTCCTCAAAAAGAGAAACAATTTGGTCTTGTCGTGGAAAAACGTCTACCTTTGGTGATGATTGGCAAGAAATGTCACCAAACCGTAGGATCTCATCCAAAAGTTGGACAGGTGTCACGTACTTTTATCCGTTGGAGAAGCCCACCAATGTGAAAGCTAGGATCATGGCTATGACATGTAACGTCCAGACCGAACCATCAAGGGGCTTGGACGCTGTCACATCCATTCTTGGTTTATCACCAGTCCCTGCAGTTATAGCTAATGAAAGGACATTGAACCCGCCAAAAGAACGCAGGATCCGGTCAGGAAAGAAGCCGGTGATGTTCGAGTTCTGCTGCAGCAAAGACTCTACATTGGGAAAGGTTAACCAATCAAGGGGGTTTGAGCATTTCAGACTTAGTCGTGACGTAACTGACCTTGAAGATCCTCAACAAATTGCGAGCCTTTTGAACCATACCAATAAGTTCAAGGGGGCAGACCTTTGGGCAAGTATACCCTGCGGACCATGGTCACCATGGCAAAAGATGAACTTGCATAGGTATGGCAAAAAGTACAAGATCAAATTGGCCAAGAAAAGAAAAACAAGCAAAAAGCTGTTGGAGCATTTCCTTCTTGTGGCAGAAAATGTCATTGCGAACGGGGGTCATGTTAGTTTTGAATGGCCGAAGCAAAGTGAAGGCTGGGCGTTGCCAGCGTTGCTGAGGTTCATCAAACGCCACAACATGTACGAAACTTGTTGCAATGGATGTGCACTAGGATTGGTTGACAAGAATGGGGAACCACATAAAAAGACATGGAGAGTAGTAACAACATCCATGAAATTGGCAGTTAATCTTGGAGGCTACCAATGTAAGCATCCACAAGGGTTTAAACATAGTCCTTTGGAAGGGTCAGAGACTTCACGATCAGCCTTCTACACAGAAAAGATGGCCCAAGTGATTTCGAATAGCCTTTATCCAGATGCCAGCGTTCCATGCATGCCAACGGTTCCTTTCGTACAGTCCGAACATGTGCCAAGATCTGTCCCTGTAGGAGTGCACCAAGTCATCGACCGAAGAGACTGGAGCAAACATCCGGGAGCCTATGAAGCTATTGCCAAAGAAAGGGATGGCTTAGTTGCTAATGAGGTCTGGTTGTGCGATAAAAAAATCCCAAAAGAAGAACTTTTGAAATCAGGAAAGCAATATAACTTGGGAAGGCTCATGACAATACTCAGTGTCAAGCACGCAGAAAGTCCAACATTGAGAAAGTTGAAGGCAAGGGTTGTTTTCAGGGGAGACCAAATAGTTGATGAGTCCAACAACATAGCGATTCTTCAAGAACTTAAGGTCAATCCATCTGGAATAACCGCAATAAACTTCAACCTCAGCTATGGTGCCCTAAAAGGGAACAAAAGCACCCAAAGCGATGTTGTGCGTGCATATACACAGAGCCTGTTAAAAACCAAGGTGCCCACATGGGTTTTGCTGCCACCTGAATTAGTTCCGAAGGAGTACTCGCACATAAAGGATCCAGTTGCACCTCTGGACAAAGCCTTGTACGGGCATCCAGAAAGCGGCTTTCACTGGGATGCCAGATTCCGGGAGGTGATGCAAATCATGGGTGGTAGCCCAGACCAAGATAACCAATCAAATTGGACATTCGGAAATGGTTTGTTACTCACTCTATATGTAGATGATGTTTTGCTTAGTGGCCCCTCACATCTTCATGCAGAATTTTGGAAGACTTTATCCAGTCATTTGGAAATCGAACCACCAACTGAAGTAGACCGATGTCTGGGTAGAAAACACGTTTTCCATCATAATGAAGATTCAACTGAGGTAGAGTTTGACATGGTAGACTTCATCCAATCTTCATGTGATTTCTATGTTGAATTGGCCGGAAAGCCCTTGAAAGAAGCAAGCTCTCCGTATCTTCCTGAAGGAAGTTTGCCATTGACAGAATGGGAGTCCCGTGGGGAATTATCTGGAACAGCCAGCCGAGTCCTTATGAAAATTCTCTGGTGTGCCCGGCTCTGCCGACCGGACATTCAAAAGGCAATTGCAGATTTAACTCGTCGCGTAACATGCTGGAGCACTGCAGACGACAAACGTTTGTACAGACTCATGAGTTATCTGTGGACGACCAAAGATTTCAAACTTCGTGGAAAGATTGCAGATAGGCAACAAGACCTCAAATTGGTCTTGTATACAGATGCCGACCATGCATCTGCAGTTGAAGATGCGAAATCGTCGTCAGGAAGCCTGTTGTGTTTGGAAGGACCAAACTCCTATTGGCCTTTGAGCTGGAGCAGCAAGCGCCAGGGAGCAACAAGCAGATCGACTACAGAGGCCGAGGTGATTTCATTAGCATCGGGAGTATTTGATGCTCTGCCGACTCTTGAATTTATTGAGAAGGTATATGGTAGGGAAGTTGAAATGCGTTGCATGCAAGACAATACAGCCGTTATTGCAATTTGCAATCAAGGTTACAGTCCGAAACTGCGTCATGTCAGTAAACATCACCGCATCAATCTGGGATCTTTGTATGAAGTATTTTCCAGTGGAATTGCAAAGTTGATGTACATTAAGACTACGTCGCAGCGAGCTGATCCTTTCACAAAACCTTTGGCGGTTGGCAAATGGCCACATGCACTGCACCTACTAGGCATCAAGCCCAAGCATCCATCTCTGGAGACACCTATCCCAGAGACCTCTCTAGAACATGCGAAGGGGGAGAAGAATGGATGCGGATGAAGCGGTCCCAAAATGGATGCCCAAATATGACTTCACTTATGCACCTGGTTGTAGCACATGGCTCACCAGGGAAGGGTCCCGTAGTTGGTTTCACAAACATCCGAAGTTTGACTGGAATTCCTACATGCATGAGCTTACCTAAAGGGTTTAAGCCGGGAATCCAGTTTGCAGGTCACTTGACAACTCAATTTGTTGTCTTACTTGTCGCTTTGGCTCAAGAAACGGGACTGCTGCCCGAAGCTCGTTTCTCTTATTACATATATATATGATTATATATATATATGATTATATATACGTATATGAATATATGTGTATATATATGAATATGTACATATATATATATGAACATATATTAATATATGAGTATATGTATATATATATATACGATTATATGTATATATATATAAACTGTATATATATATAGTAATATATGATTATATATATACACGATTATATATATGATTATGTATATATATATATCTATATTAATATATGATTATATATATATTCACGATTATATTAATATATGATTATATATATATTCACGATTATATTAATATATGATTATATATATATATTCACGATTATATATATATATATGATTATATATATATATATGAATATATATATATATATGTAACAATCAGATCATACCCAAGCTATGAATGTGGGACATACCTCAGTTCCAGATGTCCTTAACTGTCATGCTACGCCTCATTTTTTCTCCACAGAAACCAGGCCTCAGGAGGAGGAGGAAAACCAGCTGAGCCCAATCGCACGCTCTTCGTGGAGAATCTGCCGCCAGAGGTGGGATGGCAGTGGAGTTCGTGGTGAAAAACTGTGCACTTTTTTGGGAGTTCGCAGTGGCATGGGGATGCTTCAAAATCTACAATGGAGTACCCTCTGGTAAACTAACATAGCTATTGAAAATGGTCATTTATAGTTGATTTACCCATAAAAAATGGTGATTTTCCATAGTTATGTTAGTTTACCAGAGGGTACCAATTTCCATAAACATAATTCCTTCCACCCAATATTCACCAGCGAAACCCTGGTTGAGTATTGGATCTATTCCTTTTTGGGCCCCATGACTGGGGTTATTTCATATGCGTAGCCAATGACATAAAGCGTCCCATTCACCAGTGACTGGGAGTGATTATTGGGGCCAATGGGAATGTTACACTCAATGGTAACCCACTGGGATGGTAATCTCATCCCAAATGGGCGTTTTTTTTTTTTTTAAATGGTATACCCGGTATACCCGGTATACCCCAATAATGTATATGAAAAAACATCATGACTTTTCCATAGAATATATCATGCCCATGTTATTACCATCATTCATTCCCATTGTATTAATAGTATTAGCCCTCAAACTTGGGGATGGTTTGACGTTTGACTATCCCATTATTATCCCATTATTATCCAATCAATGGTGATTGATTATATATGGTTCCCAATACATACTATCCCACCATTAAATAGTATCCCAACATCAATAGTATTTCATCTTTCATTCAAAGTAATGGTATCCCATCATCAAATAGTATCCAATATTATTATCCCATTCTTCTCCCATTACTATCCCATCAAGCCTCGGGAAAGAAATCACCGGCCGAGGCCACTGACACCATGCTGTCGATGCTCTTCAGGCAGTATCCAGGTTTCCAGGAGGTGCTTCTGATGGATTTCAGTCACCAAAAATGGGCAGATCGCAGGGATTTCAGCGAAAAAATGGGGGGCACTTAGCCACAAGAACTCCGGCCAGTAGGGAAATATGATGATTCACCATGAGTCAGCAGTGGATGGAAGAATCTTCAGCTTTTCCCCTGTCAAAGATACGTGCATCATGTAGCCATATGCACCACACATGTCACATCCATGGCAAGTAGGATGGAGAATGATGAAGATATCCAACTGGACGAATCCCCGAAAGATCCCGGAAGTCAGGTGCGATTGATTCCTGGACGCAATGTGGCTTTTGCGGACTACCAGAATGAGTGCCCTGGGATCAAACGCTCACCACACTTGCTTGAAGGAAGCATCCTTCATAAATAGGCTTGTTGAAGGAATCCAGAGGGTAATAACCTACACTGGTGTCATTGTTAAGGGTAGCTCGCTGCAGATGTTCTATCAACATACCATGTCCATGTGTATTTTTTCACAAGTCAAAGACCGGCATGAGGCTGCATTTCAATGACGCCAAATTTGACACACAAAGATCTGTTGGCAGCCAACATTTGAGATCTCCCAAATTTATGATTTTGTGGGTTCAACCCAAATTTGATGGGAGCACACCCGAATTTTCAGCTCTGGATTTTCGCCGTCCATGTTGAAAAAACAACAAAGTGAGAGAAGGGGAAGCCATGCCATCACAGGAAGAGGCCCAAGGGGCAAGATCCGCATGATTTTGATGGTCAACCCCAATTATGAAGTTGGTTTATAAACCACATTAACATACAATATACCCTCTGGTAAACTAACATGGCTATGGAAAATCACTATTTCTAATGGGTAAATCCACTATAAATGGCCATTTTCAATAGCTATGTAACAAATTACCAGAGGGTACATCAAGATACATTTCCTATATGTATCTATATGACATATTCCCCATTAGGCCATATAAGCGATAAAAAAGCGCTGCCAGGTACCAGGCTGGTATGGCCATGCAGGGCTTACAGAGCTTCGAGATGACTCCAGATGTGAGGTGGGACGCCCTAGAGGTTGACCATTTCAATTCATTTCCAACATAACGTATATGTATATATATATAATATAAATATATAAATAATATGTAATTATAATATATATATATATAATATACTGTATATTATATGCAACACACACAATTAATACATACACAGATGATCCTGTGGCTATGGCTCAGAGTTGCAACCCACGCTTAAAAAACATACTATATACTTAACATGACATGTGCCTCAAGCACGAAGAAAAAAACGCAACAGTACAGGATCAACTCTGCGGTGTCTTTGAACCAAGCCTTCAGCTGTTGGGTCATGGCAGCCATTCCCGTCCCCCCCATCTTGAATTCCCCTGGCCTCAAGAAGGGCCACCAATGAATAGATTCTAATGGATCCAAAAAAGTTGAATCAGGGTTCTGATTCTGGTGGTATCTATGACTGTGTCGAAGAGGTTACAAATACTATCCACTACCACTTATAAGTAAGCGTGACTACAACTATCTACAACTATCTACAGCAATTTACAACTATCATGCGCTATCGTCAAATACCACGATCTACCATGGCTGTTTGTCATCGTTCGGAAACTCATCCTATGCAACAATCATCCTGCGCAATGTCCAGGTTGCAGCTCTCATACGCCAGAAAGTGAGGGACGTGAGCGGCCTGCATGGCAGGATCAAGGACCCGACTTGGAATTGCAGAGTTCCTACTTCAATCCATGTGTTGATCACTGTTGTTCCAATAGGGGAAATGATCGCCACCAAGGGGGCCCCAACATGGCTTGATGAAGTGGATGGTGGAAGTGCAGTGAGCTCCTTGTCAGGATGTGCTCCAAGCTATGAGCGAATAACCTGGCGGCTGCGGAAGGACGCAGTGCCAACGATTCGGGCGCTTGCCATCGTGAAAAAGATGGGTCCTGGATGGTCCTGGCCATCAGCCATCCACTTCTTGTCAGATTTGCAAAGAGAATCCATGCTGACTCTGATTTGGAAGAAGTGTCAAGCTGTGATGTGTTTGCATGAACATCCAGTACCAGGGTTTTTCAGACTAGGGTCAAGACCCGAACTGCTTGCTGTATTTGCTGTGGATGACTGATGAGTCTGTGGTGTGTCAGTGGCTGTCCTAGCTGCAACGACTGGCTTAAGCTTAGAGCCACATCAATTTGATCCTTTTTGAAGCATGGCTGACGACTCCCCCATCTCTGTCGCAGACGTGTCAAAGAAGGACGATCAGAATGATCAGAGCGATCAGAACGATCAGAACGGCGACGATGCCTCGGAGAAAACTTCGGTTTCTTCGGAGCCTGGGAGTGACCATGAGTCGAATGCTGAGGATACCAAGGAGGATGCAGATGAGGCCAAGGAAGGGTCGCCATCCCCATCCCCCGCATCCCCTGAGAAGCCCAAGATCAAAAAGCGGAAGGCGTCCCGGCGTCGCAAGAAGTCGTCCTCTACATCGGTGTCCTCCCGCCCCCGGAGCCGAAAAAGCCGCAGCCACTCGGCCAAACGCCCGCGACCTTCCACCAGCAACCGGCACCTGATCGTCTGTTGGTACGGTCGCAAGTGCAACCGGACTGAGTGCTGGTTCAAGCATCCTGATGGACGTGAATGTGATGAGAGGAAGGGCAAAGGCGGAGGTGGGCAGTGCTCAACATATACCAAAATTCTTGTTGATGAGTTACTTTTGGGGGGCTGACTACTATTGATACTTATGGTGGATTATGAGTAACTATGGCTATGGGAACTCCTACTCGTACTACCTAAGCAACTCCAACTCCATATATAGATATAATATGGGCATGGCTCAAAAATGGTCTACACAAGCCAGTTTTATGATGTTTTGTGGGGTCTAGACAATCCCGGAGATCGAGGTGGCAAAGGTGAGCCGTGCAACTTCCGCCGGCGCCGCTCCTCCAGCGCACATCGTCGCAGGGAGCGTTCGGGCTCTCGACAGAGGTACAGAAGTCCTCAGAAGTCCCGCAGGCGCCCTGTGGCAAGCCGTTCGGCCTCCACCAAACCTACCAGGCCCCGGAGGGGAAGGAAGTCAAATGTGGAGAAAGAGTGCAAAGACACGGAGGGCAACCCGGAGGGCAACCCGGAGGGGAAGCAGGTTGAGGTTCAGACCAAGGTGAAGGAGGTGAAGAATCCGCTGAAGAAAGTGAACTTTCGGGAGTTCATGATGAACCACTGCGAAGATGGAGCTTCACCTGAGGATGCCATCGTGGCCTTCAAGGTTTACTGCGAAGATCTTGTCAAGAAGGAGTTGGACATCTTGAAGAACACTGGCCTTTTCTTTGACCTCTACCACCCCATGGCTCAGTTGCGCTCCTATGATTGGCAGCGTCAGATGGCACAGATTCGATCCCGCAACTTTGCCCACGACTTGAATGCCAACAAGTACCACAGTCTCTCCTTGCGAGCCAGACGTCCTGGTCTGCCTGGTGCCAACGTTCCCATGGCCCCCACATGTCCCGTGGCGGGCCACTTGAAAGCTCCGGAGTTTGCATTCGATGCCAACGTGGGTGCTTTGATGATCAGTGGGCTTCCCGTGGCTGTGAGCACATGGGATCCTCGTCGTTGAACATCGTTGAACAATTTCTTGTCTTTTCCCGGGGTGATGCAATGGGATTGAAGAGGATTGCATAAGTTGAATTGATTTCCAGAAGCATGGCTTGGATTGCGGAGCACACTAAAACCATTCTGAGCTTACACAAAACCCATGATTGACGCGTTCTTTTTTCTTGGTTTCGTTTCGAAGCCCAAAAGCTGTGAAGAACCACTGAGGATGTTGTGGAAGCTATGCAGGACTTTCCAGGATTTATCACGGCTGCTTGGACTCCGCCTTCTTCGGAAAAAGAACTGAGCCGCACGTTCTACGCCAGCTTTGCCGATGCTAAGGCAGCCCGTGCTGCATTGTTTGGACTATCAGAACAAGCAGATTTGCTGAGCAACAAGGGGCTGACCTTTGCTTGAGAAATTGGTGCATTTTTCCAATATGTCATATATTTTTTGAGTTATTGATGACCCCTTTGTTTGATGCATTGCGAAAATGACCTCAAGACAAGTGTTCCACATCCCAGATGTCACGGACTGTTGAACTCCAAGCGTTTCGAGGACCGCGGGTGTTGCCCGTGCCTCCCTGCTCGAAGCCTCTGTGGATCTGAGTGCTTTGGTGCTTCCGCCGGAGATGTCGTCCCCTGAGCGACTGAAAAAGGACATGGAACTGTCAGCGAAGGCACGGTTAGCTAAGGTCAACTGAGAGTATCACCTACGGCGGATTTGTCAATGAAAACTCAAGCTAATCTAAGCTGTCAGAATGGCCTCATGATTTTGTGATGCGGAAACTTGCTAGCACCCCAGAGAAGATAAGCAGGAACATTCTATTCTAATATGTTTGAGTAGGTGTATCATTCATTGTTCTGAATGCTTGTGTGAACCACTTTCAGTACAGTACATTCATAATATACCTTGTCTTGTTTTCACAGATCTGCTTGTGAGTGCACGTTATATAAACCCATGTGATATACAACCCCAACAGCCATGCGCAACGGCCAGGTGATTCGGAAGATGGACGACCATTTTGGGATCTCAGCTGACGCAACCACCGCCGTGCTGAGCCATCAGTTGGACACTGAGAGACAGCTGGACATTCAAATTTTGTGCCTTCGACGTGTGCATCACTTCTGCTTCTATTCCGGGAAGTGGTGCAAGGACAGTGACTCAGTGTTCTGCGTTTATATAAATGTTGTCTTGTAGGGGGTGTCTGTTGTTTCTTTGCTTTTTTTGTGTGACAGAGGACTCTGCAGAAACAGCTTCATGGATATTTATTTGTTCGTTCCAACACACATTGTGGTTGACCACAGTCTGTCAGCCCTTGCACCTTGCGCTACAGCTTGCAGGACGAGTGGACCTTGCGAGACTGTTGTGGAGCCGCTGCCTTGCGCGAAACTCCATCTGCGTCTGGCGACAGCGGACCATCTGTGTGGGCTGTTGGACACGAGAAACGGATCCACGACTTCTTGCAACAAGCGATGGACAAGGAGATTGTGGGCCGCCCCATGGTGTTGCATCATCAAGAGCCCAAGGTCTTGGAACGTTTTCAGAGAGTTTCTTGGACTGCAAGAGCCATGTAACATGAACTTGTTGAAAGTCTTGTAGTAGAACAAACATGAATAAGAAGTCCCCTGTTGAAACGCATCTGTCTCAGCAAGATCAGCAAGGATGTGTTCTCTGACCCAATACTTCATAATACTTCCGGACATCCAAGGCTGCAAATGAGAAGATCCTGAAGGTTCACGATCAGAAGTTCCAATGTCAGGCCTGCAACAAGTTCTTCAAAGGCCCTGAGCACGTCTTCAAGCACTTGCATCGGATTCACACGAACATCTTGGACGGTGTTCGTGAAGAGCTACACCAGGAAATCGCTCGGAGTGCATTCCTTGCAGATCCTGCCCATCCTCCCGCACATGCGATGACCTCGTGATTCATCTGAATCTGGCGCTGTGAGTCTGAGGCGCTGCTGTGAGCGCTGGTGAGGCATACCGCTGAGGCGGATGGTGACCCTTTTGTGTCCGTAGCGATGAATTTGGAATACTATGAATTCTGTCGAAAATTCAATGTGGTTTGTTGGCCGAGATTGGGGACTCCATCAATCATCTTGACATATCTTGATGTAAAGTTGATGTGCCCTGATTGCTCTGCTGCTATCTGGAAGGGTTTCCCTTTATCGGCACGGACCCGTCTGCACGTTTAGAACGCCCAGCGTTGATCAGTCATAGCTAGACAGCCCCGGTGCTGATTCAACTCTGAGGCCCTTTAGTTTGAGCAGCTGCCTTCATGAGATGCCATATATATATATATGTAATATGTACATATGTTTTGTCGGATTCTCATCATTTTCATCAAGCCATTGCTAGACCTCTAACATCCCTATCCATTGAGATATGAACTTCGAATGTCGCCATCTTGTGAAGCCTGACGGCTCTGGGTTCATTCCTTGAGGCCATGAGGGACTGTCCTGCAGTCGGAGTGCCACAGGGATGTCGAAACCGTGAAAATGAGGGGCTTTGCGGTCATGGTCACCAGCTCGCTGTGAATTTCCTGTCTGAAGTGAGACCAACTTGCATGGATTTTTATGGAATTTTCCATTTAGTTTCCATGTGTTTCATATCTCCCTTCGATCTGCTTCAGTGCACATTGCCAGCAACTTGGCTCAGGAGGAGCATCACACAACGTGACAACAGTTCAACATTTTGAAAGGCACGGCACGTGTCTCCATGGCGAAGGGTCGTGGCTCGGACACCTCCGTCTCTGACTCAGAGACAAAGGTGAAGAGCACGGCCAAGGGCCAGAAACCGTCCAAGAGCCGCCAGCGCATTGTGTGTGCGTATGGGCGTGCATGTACGCGGGCTGAGTGCCCATTTGAGCATCCCAATGGCTTCAATTCAAGGACCGAGAAATTTGACAGCCCAGGGAAGCGCCGAAGGCGTGAGCCAAGTCGATCCGTCTCCAACAAACCTACAAGACCAAAGAGGGGACGGGAGGAGCCAAGTGTGGAGGATGAGAGCAAAGACATGAGGATGAACAAGGATGACAAGAAAGGCGATACAAGAATCAAGCAGGTGAAGAAGAATCCGCTGAAGAAAGTGAACTTTCGGGAGTTCATGATGAACCATTGCGAAGATGAAGCTTCACCTGAGGATGCCATCGTGGCCTTCAAGGTTTACTGCGAAGATCTTGTCAAGAAGGAGTTGGACATCTTGAAGAACACTGGCCTTTTCTTTGACCTCTACCACCCCATGGCTCAGTTGCGCTCCTATGATTGGCAGCGTCAGATGGTACAGATTCGATCCCGCAACTTTGCCCACGACTTGAATGCCAACAAGTACCACAGTCTCTCCTTGCGAGCCAGACGTCCTGGTCTGCCTGGTGCCAACGTTCCCATGGCCCCCACATGTCCCGTGGCGGGCCACTTGAAAGCTCCGGAGTTTGCATTCGATGCCAACGTGGGTGCTTTGATGATCAGTGGGCTTCCCGTGGCTGTGAGCACATGGGATCCTCGTCGTTGAACATCGTTGAAGAATTTCTTGTCTTTTCCCGGGGTGATGCAATGGGATTGAAGAGGATTGCATAAGTTGAATTGATTTCAAGAAGCATGGCTTGGATTGCGGAGCACACTAAAACCATTCTGAGCTTACACAAAACCCATGATCGACGCGTTCGTTTTTCTTGGTTTCGTTTCGAAGCCCAAAAGCTGTGAAGAACCACTTAGGATGTTGTGGAAGCTATGCAGGACTTTCCAGGATTTATCACGGCTGCTTGGACTCCGCCTTCTTCGGAAAAAGAATTGAGCCGCACGTTCTACGCCAGCTTTGCCGATGCTAAGGCAGCCCATGCTGCTGTGCTTGGACTATCAGACCAAACAGATTTGCTGAGCAACAAGGGGCTGACCTTTGCTTGAGAAATTGGTGCATTTAGATCATTTTAATGCATGTCTTGATCATTTGCATTTTTTGAAGGATTGCGAAAACGACCTCAAGAATAGGGTTCCACCAAGATTCGGTTTGAATCAAGATCAGAATAATCTTTTGTATTAGATCAGATCATAAAATTCGTATTCTACTGGTAAGGTCTAGTTGAATCAAGATCTAAAGCCTAGTTAAACAATGTTAAACACCATTGGTTCCACATTTCCACATGTCTCCCCACACCGAGGACCACTGGTACTGCCCGTGTCTCCTTGCTCGAAGCCTCAGAGCTCAGTGCCGCTGTGCTTCCACCGGAGATGTCGTCCCCTGAGCGCCTCAAAAAGGACGTGGAACTGTCAGCGAAGGCCCCGCTGTGGCTGTGGGTTGATGAACTATGATGTTTTTTTGGGTGTGAAAACCCATGAAACGAATTGAACAGCTAGATGCATCTATTAGTACCATCTTTTTGGGAATGAACATATCGAGTTACCATCATTTACTAATTTACCATCTAGTTTACCTTATTTGGAGTAAAAGACTTGCAATGCAAGCTCGCCACCCAGGATTTCGAGTCGCCAACGGCCAGGTGATTCGGAAGATGGACGACCATTTTGGGATCTCAGCTGACGCAACCACCGCCGTGCTGAGCCATCAGTTGGACACTGAGAGACAGCTGGACATTCAAATTTTGTACCTTCGACGTGTGCATCACTTCTGCTTCTACTCCGGGAAGTGGTGTAAGGACAGTGACTCAGTGTTCTGCGTTTATATAAATGTTGTCTTGTAGGGGGTGTTTGTTGTTTCTTTGCTTTTTTTGTGTGACAGAGGACTCTGCAGAAACAGCTTCATGGATATTTGTTCGTTCCAACACACATTGTGGTTGACCACAGTCTGTCAGCCCTTGCACCTTGCGCTACAGCTTGCAGGACGAGTGGACCTTGCGAGACTGTTGTGGAGCCGCTGCCTTGCGCGAAACTCCATCTGCGTCTGGCGACAGCGGACCATCTGTGTGGGCTGTTGGACACGAGAAACGGATCCACGACTTCTTGCAACAAGCGATGGACAAGGAGATTGTGGGCCGCCCCATGGTGTTGCATCATCAAGAGCCCAAGGTCTTGGAACGTTTTCAGAGAGTTTCTTGGACTGCAAGAGCCATGTAACATGAACTTTTTGAAAGTCTTGTAGTAGAACAAACATGAATAAGAAGCCCCCTGTTGAAACGCATCTGTCTCAGCAAGATCAGCAAGGATGTGTTCTCTGACCCAATACTTCATAACACTTCCGGACATCCAAGGCTGCAAATGAGAAGATCCTGAAGGTTCACGATCAGAAGTTCCAATGTCAGGCCTGCAGCAAGTTCTTCAAAGGCCCTGAGTACGTCTTCAAGCACTTGCATCGGATTCACACGAACATCTTGGACGGTGTTCGTGAAGAGCTACACCAGGAAATCGCTCGGAGTGCATTCCTTGCAGATCCTGCCCATCCTCCCGCACATGCGATGACCTCGTGATTCATCTTGGCGCTGCTGTGAGCGCTGGTGAGGCATACCGCTGAGGCGGATGGTGACCCTTTTGTGTCTGTAGCCATGAATTTGGAATAGTGAGAACTCAAATACATATCTCCAAAATTAATGTGGGCATGTCGACAAGAGTTGGAGAAGCTGCTGCCTGTTCATGTGTTCATGTGCCACATTTCTAATGGACCTTGATTGTGGTGTTGCCTTGTCCCTGGCAGATCATAATCTTGGGACTTGTTGAGTAAGTTGAAGCGTTGAGACATGCCCACATGCATGCCTAGATTAGATGTGCTTAGAAAAGCTAGACCAAAGTGGAAGTGTATCTAGTGTCTGGGCTAAAGATGCTGCCTCCGCTTGGAAATATGCATCCAAAATTCCGAAATGTATCCCATCTAATTATTAATATCTATTCTAGGAACCACTTAACAACATATTTTGATGTATTTTGTTGTTTCCACATTCGAAGACCCTGCTGGTTTCAGCGGCAGCATTTTCTCCAGACGGCTTTGGGCCTTTGGGCTCATCTCCCCATGGGTGACTGGCACCAGTCTCGTGGCCGGGGGATGTGCGGAAGCTGCGGATATCATCTGAAATCATCTGAAATCATCTGAGTATGGCGGCAGGGCAGGCAAGTCAGATACCAAGCTATAGCCAAGAGATCTAAAGAGTACATGCTTTCGAGGTTGGCTGAGTGTATCACTTGATGGCAGGTAGTTTTTTTTCAGGGAATTCCGGCAAAGCTCAACTAACAGGTGTCAGTGTGCTGTGTTGCACCTATGCAGTGCAGAGTCAGTGTTCCCGGCGCCAATGTCCGCGCTGGATCGATGGACCTGAATCAATAAGATCCTGGTGACGGTTCATTTGGGCGGCTACCACTTTACAGACATGGGTATGGATCAATACCTATTAATACCATGTTTAGGGGGATGAACATCCATTTACCAGCTATTTTGATGTTCACCAGGGGTACAAGGTTTTGACACACTGCCACATTCAGAGAATCTTTTTGCGGGTGCCTTCATTGAGCAGTCTGCATTGCTCCCTGGTTGCCACTTTTGGCTTAGAAGGACTTGTAGAGATAGGCCGCAGCGAGGCCCAAGGTGCGGATGAACATTGGACAAGCGCCTGTTGACAAGATTTCATAAACAGCACCCTAAGAGCCTAAGAGGCCCAAGTGGAATGTGGTTGATCTCTTCATCTCGCGGACAAATTCACCTACAGTAGGACAATATTATGTATATTATTATATATTATTATATATTAAGTATAATGATATATTATGTATATTATGTATGTATATATAATGTCATATCCAATTTTCTCCCAACTATGTCCCCAGGATTCCCCATGAATTGGGGGTTCCAAATACCACTAGTCTTGTAGTGTTGGCTCAACTCGGCTCAGATCGGGGAAGCGGTCTTGGTTCTTCACGGTCAACCCTGTTTCAAATTTGGGTGAACCACATTAACCTATTGCCATTTTAATATGGTTTAGTATGTTTTAATATGGGTATGGATCAATACCTATTAATACAATGTTTAGTGGGATGAACATCCATTTACCAGCTATTTTGGGGTTCACTAGGTACCAGGGTTTTGACCCATCCCCATATGGTTTAGTATGTTTTAATATGGTTTTTTATTGGTTTTAAGATGGTTTTAGTATGTTTAAATGGTGAACATGAGTCTCCAACCCACCCTGGATTTTTTTCGGGTCCAAATTTTGGGGTCAATGCCAGGTCGGTGCATGAGGCATGTCAACCTTTGATGGCTTGTCTCGGGAAGAGCTGATGCAAAAGGCCAGTCGTGCGCATGTGGGGATTAAGCATGTGTATTTCACTATAATTATATATGTATATATGTATACTGTATATGTACAAAGTAGTAATAATATGATGTAATATTTATATATACACCTATGTATAGATACGTATATTATACAGAGTTGAGGTTTCGGAATTTTGGACACACCTGAGTGCTTCTGTGAAGAATAGAACTGCAAACGTTGTTGTCACATCAGGTGGTTGAGCTGCAAACCGGTTTGGCCGAGCTTTCAGAAAAGGCGAGTGGAGACAAGTGTCGGATGGATGACGAGGGGTTGGTGGGAGTAACCTTAGTGTTCGGTTTGCCCGAAAAGTGACACCAGCATCGATTTGATGTACCATCATCACTACCATCACGGCAACCGACATGATTCTCTTTGCTAGAACATGCCAGAACTAGAGTACTTTGATCATGACTGCAACAACTATCAAAGGTTATCCATCACCAGCACTTGTCAGGTTGTTGATGATCCCAATCGACCAATGTTTTCAGCATGGGTTGGTGAGCCACCAACCAGTTGTCTTCACGCTGAAACCGCACTGCACAGAGGTAGACACCGTGAAAGGTGAGAACACACAGCTCAGAGAGGAGCTGACTGTCGAAAGTTGGTGTGTGATAGTTTTTTACCATACCAGGAAATCCGCAAGAGTCCCTTCCATGTAGTATTCTTATGTATTCTTTACCCCAGAAGCCGTGCTTTAGGACAGAATCCATGCACAATTTGGGGTCACTGAATTGGAGATACTTCCAAGGGATGGGACGACTTCCACCGAAAGCGAGAGACCACGAACGTGTCTGACGCCAGGAAAATAATGTTCTCAAGGACTACCTCAACAATTTGATGGCCAAGGTCCGCGTTTTGTGCTCTGTGAAATTATTTGTTGTGCATTTTACTGTATGTAAAGAACTACAGTACACACACATATTATGTGTATATATATATAATATGTAAATATGCATGTATCCATTCATGACTTTGGATCATATCTGATTCTCGGAATTTTCATTCCATTCACGTTGAGATATATGTTGAGGCTGTTTGAGGACGTCAGTCATAGAAGTCATGCGCATGATACTACATAAGTCATGTCATCAATGACTGTCATTTCATGACTTTTCATGTGGGTCTGGGTCAAAATGGTGGATTTATCCCCCATTTAATATATTTAATCAGCATTTTCACGGTCAAAACCATGGCAGGGACTAGTTTTCCCATGACTCATTTATCCTAAACATCAGAAGTTGAGTTGGACATTCACTTGCCCCAGCTGCACTCAAGAAAGGCATGTCAATTGCATGATGGGAAACTCAAGAGGACCCTCCCAACATATTTTGGGGGAAAAACCAGCCAGTTTCCGGTTAAGATTTTCCCAACCAAACCAACCCATTGAACAATGACTCATTGGTAAACTCACCTTAAATCCAGCATAAATGTTATTTTCAATCCCCCAAAATATGCCATGAATTTCCACAAAAAATCCCAATCAAATGAGATCTCCCATGAAATCCCATGATTTACCACAAATTGAGATAGACATCCCATAAAATCCCATAAAAACCCATGTTTTTTTGAATGAAATCCCTTAAAATCCCTTGAACTCCCACTTTTCTCGTCCGGGAAATCCCCATGGGCCTCTGGCCCTTGGTGAATTTTCTCCGCCAGGTGGGAAAGATGCCGAACCTTGGTACCACAGCGCCGTCCAAGGTCATGCTACAGCAGAACCCGGATGGGGCGCAATCTGCCACTGAGCCGCGAAAAACAGAAAGCATAGAAAACTCATATATTTATAATATATGATATAAACCATAAACATTTATACTATATAATCTTTCTGAAACATATTATATAGTCACATTGTTTTTCTGATGTGTCTGAAAAAATGTGAAACATATTTAATCATATTTACATGGTATATTGTGATTACTTATACCTGTGCAAATATATAGCCGAGGTCAAGGTGAACGACCACATTGGAGAGCTTACAGCCCCGGCGGTGGACGACTGAAGGTGGGGCACAACGGAGCAGGATGGATCCAGGAAAACAACGAGTTTTGATATGTAACGAAGCAAGAAATTGGGGGGATATACTGGGATATACTGCACATAAGTTACATATGTGATATGTGTATAATTATGTATATATATATATGAGAGATACATATAACCAAGCAAAATGAGAATCATCATTATCCAACGTAAATTGGGACCCAATCACACCACGGGATTTTGAAGAGTGCCCAGCTTTGTCTCAACACAAAATCCGTTGTAACATGTTGCAACCAGCCCAATCATAGGTGATCGCCCCCCAATTACACTGCCCCGTCAGTCGACTCAGGTGACCTCTGCCGCCGCGCGGGCACAATTCACTGGCACCCAAAAGCGGTGAGGGTTGCCGCAGCCGGTGGCGGAGTAGCGCACATGAAACCGCGCAGAAACAGCGCAGAATCTGGGGCCACCTGGAGGGGAGGAGTCACCGGGAGGCCGGCCACAGGAATGGTTGTGTTTGCTGGGGAGACATATTCTACATCACTGTAATATATTGTAATTAATTGTATAAGCAAACTGGCCCCGGGATTTTGGGTTTTTCATCTAATGTTTGCGATGTTTGACACACCTTGCCCCAAATCTTGATATTCATGATCCCCAAGTCAAGAAGTTTTCAAAAGACGCTTGGTGATCGAAAATTGGGGGCAGAACATCGACCTTGATGGCACGGTAACCAATTCTTTTCGGGGTGTTTTTGGACAAACTGACATCGCAAAGCATCGCAAAGTGTATCGAGAAGGCACCATATCCATTTTGTGTCTGGGCTCCAGCCAAGTTTTTGGCTCAATCATCAGATATCGTACCGAGATTCGTAGGGTTCATATGACTGCAGTGCCTTGACGAAATGACGAAGGGGAAGTGTGGCATGGGGAGTTTGGCCCATTTCTGGCTGTTTTGGGGATAACCAGAAATTGCACCCAATCCAGTCATTTCGTGGTCGGTTCATGTCGGTTCTAGTAGAAGGCCGCTCTTCTTTGCTGGCCAGAAAATGATATATATATATATATACCCATATATTCCCCTAGAATCCATGGTTAGTCATAATTTGCCCTATTAAAAACTGCTTATTTTTTTGGGAGGGTAATGTCCATTTCGAGACACACTCAGTTCTCGTTGGACGCCCCAAATTGGATACACGTTGGAGACATGACCGAGGGACTGCTGTCGCAGTTCTGGGAACATGTCATTGACTTTGTTCTGTTCCGATCCAGATACAGGTTGCTTTACGAATTGGTACCTTATTTCCAAAAAAAACTAAGATTTGGGCCGAGTTTCATGGAAGATATATGAAGATATAATGCTGGTTCCAACATGTTTCAACTAAACTAAAAGCCGACTTTGCCATAGTTTTGCTAATCCAAGATGGCAAAGGGAATCCCATTCCAGTTTAACTTGAAGGAACATCTACTCCGAAATGCAGATTTTCAGCAATTGCCATTCGAAATTCATAGAAATTCTAAGCTGGCAACGGAGAATCCTTTAAAATTACCATGGGATATCAGATCTTCGATGATCTTGGTGGAATCTTGGTGGACCCTGAGGTGAAGCGACTCACTGCGCCTGGGGGACCCAGGAATCGCCCAAATTGGGTCGGTCTACGGAGGGTTCCGGAAGTTGGCGGCTGACATCAGCCGACACTTAAGTCTTTAAAGGGATAAAGTGAATAGAATGAGGAGATTGCGTACTTACCATGAAGGGCTTTGCGATCCTCTACGACTCCAGGAGAGTTTCTCGTTTTCAACTTTTTTGGACCTAAAAACCACTTGAGGCAAAACCATCGCATCAACCCCCGGATCCATAGTGACTTTATCACCTTCGTCAGGTATGGTTCGGATTTCGTACAAAAAAACAAACGTGAACGACCCAGATAAGGACTCTTCCAGATTGTGTCTCACAATGACTTGGCAGTAGTTTAAGAAGTAGGCTTTCAGCACATTCCTGGTTCTTGTTTGATGATTTCTTGTTGGGTAAATGGATTAGTCATGATTAGTCCAACAAAGTTCAACGACACCAGGGCAATCTTCCCTGGAGTTGGCCTTGCAGGCAATGAGATCCAAAGTATCTCAGAAATGTCTACAGGTTCGAGATGGGAAAAGGGATCAGCCGTGTCCAAAATTGCTTCGAACCCCAAATCAACCCACCAAACACAGGTTATTTGGAGAGTTTTCAGGGGCCTAGTCTTGGAATGAAATTACATGAAATTACTGATGTCTTACTTGAGAAGAATGATAAGGATTGATAAGGATTATTTCGCCCCCTTAGATACCAGCTTCACAATTCACTGATGAAAGTGGATGTAAGCTAGGTCCACGTAAGTGAAGAGCCACCTGACAGAATACTTCTATGCTATCGCAGGATGTGTATCCGGCAGGTCAAACCCCACGGTTGATCATCCTGTTCCCGGTAAAGATTTTGATGGTCCATCATGTTCAATGAACATCGCTGATTAGAGGTCAATCCCAGTGTTTTTGGAAAAAAACTTTAGATGCCCCAGCATAGATGTCCTTTTCCCATTGGTTGGTTGATTAATAGAGATGTTTGAAGAACCCCCTTTAGCAACAGGTTTGTTTGATGATAGATGGTATACAAGGTTCCTGGCCCCTCTATTCTTACCAAAAGGACATTGCCCCAGGTGGTTTTGCTGCTTGTAGTGATTTGTTTGGATATCCTCTTGGAGCCCATTGCCAGTTTCCAGGTGGGAGGTTGGGGGGCGCCTAGTGTGGTGAGAGAACCACCGGGCTCTGAAACCATTCAATCTAAGGTTTGGGGTTCTCAAAGTGTTGAGCTATAGGACATTCATGACAATATACGACAAGATAGGAAACGTCACTCTTTATGTGCTACTAAGTATTGCTGGTTGGTGGTTTGGAACATTTTTTATGGGAACTGTGATGGTTAAGCAATGGTTTTGGGATGTTTTGGGATACCCCATTTGCCGAGTGCACAGCCACGCAGCATTTTGACGGCCCCAAGAATGGTCCCGGATTTGAATACACGTACAATCCCCCAAAAGGATGGGTTGACACCAAAAACGAACAGCCATTTGTGGTATCACAACATTTTTGACGGATGCCCATTGCTATGTCATTGCTATTTGTGGAGAGCGATGGATTCTTTTGGTTGGATCCCCATATTTTTGCTGGATCCAAAAAGAGATCGGCCAAAGTAGCCCAAAATCCCAGGGGTGTTGATCATTTTCCAGCTATTGCCATTTGGGCGAGGTACCATTCGGTACCATTGCAGACCCATTGCAGACCCATGCCGAGTCTTGATGGGATGTTCATCATTGCATATGGAGTGGTTTGGATTCCTGGATTCCAAAGGGATCTCCATATGAGCCATTTCAAAATACCCCGTTTTCCCATCTCATGATACTGGCTAATAGGTTTCCCTACTATGGGGTATCAGAATCACTTTCTTTATACCAGGTAGTCAACCCCTGATGGCTTCATTAACCCTGGTTGATTAAAAATCGGTTTCTCACCCAAATCACGGAAATGGGCTACGAAAATGGTACCCCAGGTAGTATAATCCCCTATACCCAATCAACCAGAGTATCCCTGCCCATATGGGCCTAGAATCTACCCAGCCAGGAGAGGCACCGCGATGTCGCCGGAATCAGAGAGGAATCAGACTTTGGCGATGCCTGGAGCCCGGCGCCGTCGTTGGGGCTGGTGGAAGACCATGGGTCTCCACTAGTATTACACACATGTCATATGTGTATCTACGTATATATATATATATGTATACATAATATATGTATATATATATATACATATATATATATATGTATAGATACATACATACGAATCATGTATGATATGTGTGATCGTCATAGATTTTACATATATGTACATATGATATACACACGTGATGTTTCCTCAGATCATCATCCACCTTTGCGCCCGGGTTTCCGTGAAATCGGGCGCCCCGTTGCTCGCTCGCGCCTCAGGAAATGATGTTCATGCAGATCAGCACAGAGGCGATTTGATCATCACCATGGTATAGATGGCCCATAGAAATAGATGGTTTACCTATCAAAAATGGTGATTTTCCATGGCGAACTGTTAGTCATAACCAGATGGTACCATCATCACCACAATCATCATGACCGTTTTTTTTATTTTCGATCCCAAAAACCGATCGAAATTCGCTGGTTTTTGCAGCAGGATATCAACTCGCTGGAAAGCCACTGCCTCTCCGATGGAAGCCTCAGGAGGTGTGAAGCCCATGGACTTGAGCTAGGGGAAGTTTTGGAGCCCTCGACTCCTCGACATGAAAATCTATAGGCAATTTCCAGTCTAAATTGAAAGCATCTGAAATGTTACAGCATGTTGCAACATGGTATCTGAAATCTGAGTTAGATGGTCTAGTCTTTGTACAGTATTTAAATGCTCATTTCCGAAACAACTAAAGAGTCTAAAGAGGATCAAACACAATCCACAAAATTTGTCTGCCAATGTAGTGCTTGTTGGGATAACATGTTGCTTTTCATGAATGACACATGAATTGAGCCATGAACCAGTCATCACAGTTGTCCAACATCAATCTGGGCGATTCTTCCATTCCTCAAAAGTCAGGATGGATCAATATAGCATCATATGGAGGTTTCCTGAAATTGGGGTACCCCAAAATCATCCCAAATTAGACCATGTTCGTATTAAAACCAAAGGTTTTGGGGACCACCCATTTTAAATCCTCATATAGCCCTAAAATTAGCTGACAAGTATCCCAGCATCGACCAGGTATGTTGAGCATCAGATCACAAACCTCTGAATCTGCCAGCTGATGGCCATGATCAAGCATTCAGCGCTACCTCCCTGCGATCTCATCCACATCCCCCTTACACTTTGTTGAATATATGACATGTATCAATCACACACACACATATATATATATATCTATAGACATACATGACATAATATCTAATGGGGCTGGTGGCTGTTACAGGTGCAACAATTGACGCAACTGTTTTTTGGTTTCCAACGTGAAATCCAGTTGCATCGAACATGTTGAAACCAGCAGTACCGGTCAGCACGCCCAGGCTGCTTCGGTGTCGGTCTAGTAGCGAGGTTTGTGCTCGACGTACGCGCACCTAATGGATGCTGTTTGACTGTTTGACTGACTTTCTCCTGGAGACCATTAAAGACTTTCAGCAAATTGGATGCTTGATATTTGTTGAAACGAACACAGAAGTGATACTTCAGAAACGAATCAGTTGTAAATCGCAGATGTTCAAAAACTTCCTGCTGAATTATTACGCCCCGTTTTTGGCTGAATCATGAAGTCATGACCTCTACTCTTCTTTCAGCGAGGCACAACACTTTGGACCGTGGCGATCTTTGGTTTTGCATTCCTGCAATCTGGTGGGGAGGCCCAATTCTCTGGTCT